TTGAAAGGGTGCATATTGTTTCGAACATTATTCTGAACATCTTTTGTTCAGTATTGCTTATCAAAATATTCCCCCTTTTCGAGATATAAAGCCTCAAAGATTTAGCATTCTGGCCCCTTTTGACCCCTTATTACGTAACATATGATTAGAATCTTATCATATACTGTTGTAAATCGTTAAGATAAGCATTTTTGCTTCAGTAATGTATTACAAATTATTGATCGTTAAAGAGTTATAGATGAAAGAATTTTGGCCCCCCTGAACCCCTAATTTGAGGGGTCAGCCCCTTTTTCTTGATATCAAATGAAAGGTCTTGTGATTTTGAAGACTTTTTGTTAAACAACTATTCAGAGATTTCTTTTCGTTTAAGGGATATGCTGAATTGAAATATTTAGGGGCTACCCCTCCAAGTCCTTAATGGGGCTGTTTGACAAAAATTGAAAGGTTGCATTTTGTTTAGAACATTATTCTGAACATCTTTTGTTCAGTATTGCTTATCAAAATGTTCCCCCTTTTCGAGATATAAAGCCTCAAAGATTTAGCATTCTGGCCCCTTTTGACCCCTTATTACGTAACATATGATTAGAATCTTATCATATACTGTTGTAAATCGTTAAGATAAGCATTTTTGCTTCAGTAATGTATTACAAATTATTGATCGTTAAAGAGTTATAGATGAAAGAGTTTTGGCCCCTCTGAAACCCTAATTTGAGGGGTCAGCCCCTTTTTCTTGATATCAAATGAAAGGTCTTGTGATTTTGAAGACTTTTTGTTAAACAACTATTCAGAGATTTCTTTTTGTTTTGGAGATATGCTGAATTGAAATATTTAGGGGCCACCCCTTCAAGTCCTTAATGGGGCCGTTTGACAAAAATTGAAAGGGTGCATATTGTTTAGAACATTATTCTGAACATCTTTTGTTCAGTATTGCTTATCAAAATATTCCCCCTTTTCGAGATATAAAGCCTCAAAGATTTAGCATTCTGGCCCCTTTTGACCCCTTATTACGTAACAAATGATCAGAATCTTATCATATATTGTTGTAAGTCGTTAAGATAAGCATCTTTGCTTCAGTAATGTATTACAAATTATTGATCGTTAAAGAGTTATAGATGAAAGACTTTTGGCCCCTCTGAGCCCCTAATTTGAGGGGTCAGCCCCATTTTCTTGATATCACATGAAAGGTCGTATCAATCTGCACAACTTTTCTTCTATATGTTTTAACAAATTCTTCACATTTATGAAGATATGAAAGAAAAGGTGTAAAATTTTGTGAGATGTTTCTGAGACATTTTTTGAGTCCTACCGAGCTTCGGCGCCTTTTGCGCTAGAGAAATTTGGACACCTGCCTGCAAATCTACAATCCTTCCCCTACCTTCACTGAAAATCTTGACTAATTATTTCAAGTCGTTTCGGAGGAGTTTCCAGGACAGGCCGACCCTCTGAAAATCAGAAAATCCTAAATATCTCGAGATGGAAAGTGACGTCATCAGCGAAAAAAATTTCCAATAAGGTTCAGATCAATACCTATCAGATCTGAGAGTTTCATGAAAATCGGCCGAGACGTTACCGAGAACTCGCGTGCACAAAATCGGTAAGAATAATAATAATAACTAGATGGTTCTCGTTGCGAGCAACGAGTGGGTCTTCCGTCTGATTTTGGATAAGATTAGTCAAGATCTTGACTGAGATATTCGTCTGTAAAGAGTGAAAGGATGCATGTTGTTTAAAACATTATTTTGAGCTTCTTTTGTTCATTATTGCTTATCAAAATATTTCCCCTTGTTCGAGGTGTCAAAAATTTAGCATTCTGGCCCCTTATTACGTAAGATAAGTTCAAAATTTTATAATATATAGTTGCAGAACTTTAAAATAAACATTTTTGCTTCAGTAATTTATAACAAAATATTCATCATTAGAGAGTTATAGATGAAACTCTTTTGGCCCTTCTGAGCCCCTAATTTGAGGGGTCAGCCCCTTTTTCTTGATATCAAATGAAAGGTCTTGTGATTTTGAAGACTTTTTGTTCAACAACTATTCAGAAATTTCCTTTCATTTAAGAGATATATAGAATAACACTATTTAGGGGCCAGCCCTCCAACTCCTTAATGGGGATGTCTTGCAAAAATTAAAAGGCTGTATATTGTTTAGAACATTATTTTGAACGTCTTTTGTTCAATATTGCTTATCAAAATATTTCCCCTTTTCGAGATATAAATTGTCAAAGATTTAGCATTCTGGCCCCTTATGGCCCTTATTACGTAACATATGATCAAAATTTTATAATATATAGTTGCAAAATGTTAAGATGAACATTTTTGCTTCAATAATTTATAACAAAATATTCATCATTAAAGAGTTATAGATGAAAGACTTTTGGCCCTTCTGAGCACCTAATTTTAGGGGTCAGCCCCTTTTTCTTGATATCAAATGAAAGGTCTTGTGATTTTGAAGACTTTTTGTTCAACAATTATTCAAAAATTTCCTTTCGTTTAAGAGATATATAGAATAACAATATTTAGGGGCCAGCCCTCCAACTCCTTAATGGGGATATCTTGCAAAATTTTTAAGGGTGTATATTGTTTAGAACATTATTCTGAACATCTTTTGTTCAATATTGCTTATCAAAATATTTTCCCTTTTCGAGATATAATGTGTCAAAGATTAAGCATTCTGGCCCCTTATGGCCCTTATTACGTAACATATGATCAAAATTTTATAATATAAAGTTGCAAAATGTTAAGACGAACATTTTTGCTTCAATAATGTATAACAAAATATTCATCATTAAAGAGTTATAGATGAAAGACTTTTGGCCCTTCTGAGCCCCTAATTTGAGGGGTCAGCCCCTTTTTCTTGATATCAAATGAAAGGTCTTGTGATTTTGAAGACTTTTTGTTCAACAACTATTCAGAAATTTCCTTTCGTTTAAGAGATATATAGAATAACAATATTTAGGGGCCAGCCCTCCAAGTCCTTAATGGGGATGTCTTGCAAAAATTAAAAAGGTGTATGTTGTTAAGAACATTATTTTGAACATCTTTTGTTCAATATTGCTTATCAAAATATTTCCCCTTTTCGAGATATAAATTGTCAAAGATTTACCATTCTGGCCCCTTATGGCCCCTTATTACGTAACATATGATCAAAATTTTATAATATATAGTTGCAGAATGTTAAGATGAACATTTTTGCTTCAATAATTTATAACAAAATATTCATCATTAAAGAGTTATAGATGTAAGACTTTTGGCCCTTCTGAGCCCCTAATTTGAGGGGTCAGCCCCTTTTTCTTGATATCAAATGAAAAGTCTTGTGATTTTGAAGACTTTTTGTTCAATATGTTTTAACAAAATACTTCTATTTAAAATGTTATTTTAAGAAATGTCTCTAAAATTCACTCATTAATCACGTCCTAAATTTCGACCCCTGCAGAGCTTCCATACTGCGCACTTCCGGAAAATTTGAAAACCAAGGTGCACATCTAGAACATGTTCTCTATCACCACTGAAAGTTTCAACACTCTAGCATTTGTCGTTCTTGAGTTTTTGTGCAGACACAAGGTCTATGTAAAAATCGATCAAAGCGCGATAACCTCTGACCGGAAGTGATTTTTCAAAAACTGACATGGCGTTATAAACTTCAGATAGCAACGCATTAACCCTGAAAATTTGAAGCAAATCGATCGAGAGATCTCCGAGAAATCTTCTGCACAAAATCGGTAAGGAAAAAAAAAAGAATAATAATAATAAGAAAAGTGAAAAATCAACAATAGAATAATAGAAGGGTCTTCCGCAGAAGACGGAAGACCCTAATAATAATAATAGGGAAAAAGAAACCGAACGAAAACAATAAGGTCTTCCGTTGGAGACGAAAGACCTTAATAATAGGGAAAAAGAAACCGAACGAAAACAATAAGGTCTTCCGTCTGGAACGGAAGACCTTAATAAGAAACAGAGTAAAAACAATATGTTCCCCAACTTCGTTTGGGGAACATAACAAGGGCCAAGCCCTCTTCCAAGGGGAGATAATCAAGAAAAGACAAAAATAGGGTGGGGTCATTAAAAAATCTTCTTCTCAAGAACCACTGGGCCAGAAAAGCTGAAACTTATGTGGAATCATACTGGGATAGTGTAGATTCTAAGTTCAAATCATGACCCCCGGGGGCAGGGTGGGGCCACAATCGGGAATCCAAGTTTTACATTGAAATATGTAGAAAAAAATTTCTTCTCAAGAACCACAGGGCTAGAAAAGCTGAAATTTAATTGTTCAAATCATGACCCCAGGAGGTAGGGCGAGGCCACAATAGGGAATCCAAGTTTTACATTGAAATATGTAGAAAAAATCTTCTCAAGAACCAATGGGCCAGAAAAGCTGAAACTTATGTGGAAACCTCTGGGAGGTAGACGTGTAGATTCTAAATTGTTCAAATTGTGACCCCTAGGGCTAGGGGCGGGGCCACAAAAGGGAATCCAATTTTAACATTGAAATATATATCAAAAATCTTTAAAAATCTTCTTCTCAGGAACCACTGGGCCAGAAAAGCTGAAATTTATATGAAAGCATCTGGAAGTAGTGTAGATTCTAATTTGTTCAAATCATAACCCGGGGGGTAGGGCGGGGCCACAATAGGGAATCCAAGTTTTACATTGAAATATGTAGAAAAATCTTTAAAAATAATCTTTTCAAGAACCACTGGGCCAGAAAACCTGAAACTTAAGTGGAAGCATCCTGGGGTAGTGCAGATTCTAAATTATTCAAATCATGACCCCCGGGGGTAGGGGCCACAATAGGTATTGGGGGGGGGGGATCGGGTGAAAAACAGCAATGACAAAGTTACTCAGGTGAGCGTTGTGGCCCATGGGCCTCTTCGTTGTTTATTTTGCTGAAAAAGAATAAATGAATATCATCTGAGTGTTTTGTTGAGTGTGTATCTGTTTTTCTTTAATTTTTCTTCATATGCTGTACAGATATAAAACTTATGTCTAATTTCATTTTAGGTGAAAAATGAATGCTGTTTCACTGATGTGGAGACAGAACCATCAGCGCCAAAATTAAGAAGAACAGAAGATGCCCCACAAAGAATCCAAATACGTAAAGAAAAATTTAGTTTACCTGATGGGTTACATGCACAACATGTTGGTGACCTCTTGGCCTACCTTGACAAATCAGTATGTAAAGAAGCAATTTTGGGAATGACAGTGGAAAAAACAATGGTATGCTCAGAAACTCCATTGAATATTGACCAAAATTTGGTCACTATGTAATTAAGATAAATGTACACTTATTGATGTATATATCTTTAAAAATCTTCTTTTCAAGAACAGCAAAGCCATGATTATTCAAATTAATATAGAAGCATCCTCGATAGTTGATTCAGATATGTTCAAGTCATGCCCTAAGGAGAAGGGAAGGCCACAACAGGGGATCAAAGTTTTACATAGGAATATACATGTATATAGGAAAAGTCTTTAAAAAATCTCAAGAACAGCAAAGCCATGATAAGTCATGTAAATACAGAAGCATCCTCAGGAAGTGTAAAAAATCTCAAGAACAGCAAAGCCATGATAAGTCATGTAAATACAGAAGCATCCTCAGGAAGTGTAGATTCAGATTTGTTCAAATCATGATCTTTGGGTTAGGGCAAGGCCACAACAGGGAACAAAGCTTTACATAGGGATATATAGGAAATTTCTTTAAAAGCCTTCTTCTCAAGAACAGCGAGCCATAATTAGTCATATTTATACAAAAGCATTCTTAGGTAGTGTAGATTCAGGTTTGTTCAAATCACGACTTCGGGGATAGAATGGGATCACAACAGGCGATCAAAGTTTTATATGCAGGGGTTGTCTAGCCCCTTTTCCACTTTTGAAAGTGGAGGAACAAGAGCATCTTGGTTGGCATCAGTCTTCATGGCCAAATCTTTTTTTTTCAGCACATGCCTTTCGGGCAGATGTATCCACTAATTTTACACTAGCCCAAACAAATATTCACATGCCAAAAATTTTATCAAGTAATTTTATTCTTATTTGCCTTTTCATGCCAAGGTCACAATTTTTCATGGTGAATGAAATATAAAAATCTTTTAAAAATTTTTGAAGAACGGTAGGGCTAAAGTTACTGTGGTGATCGCTGTGGTCCATAAGCCTGTTGAGTTACATGTAAGTCCAGACCACTTCTAAACTCAGAGTGCTGGTGGTCTGAGAAACTCATTATACTCACATGACTGTTAAAGCCCATGGGCCTCTTGTTTTTTTTGGAAATGAAGAGAGGTAAAGATCTTCTGATGAAGAGCAGCAGAGCCAAGTTGACTCAGGTTAACAGTGTTGCCCATAGACCTCTTGTTATGAAGACTTCTCTTTTCTTTACAGGTTACATTCACAAGGTTATTGGTGAAGGATGAAACAATGGAAAAGCTTCAAAGATCATCAAGTGATTCAGTAAAGTTAAAGGAAGAAGAAAGGCCTGTTCTGTATTACAGTAAACGTTACAATTACTTGCTGCTGGAGGATAGAAAAGAAATTGTAAAAGCTCTTCTGACTCTCGCAGTGATGGAAAAGCGGCGAGCAAAAAAGTCTTGATATCAGACGCTGTTCTTTACAGAGCTATTTTTGTCTGATAAGTGTTTACAAATGGAACTCTTAAGTTTGACTGGTGCTAATTTTTATAGGGAACCTTACAGATGTTCTTCATATGGCTCCCCTACTTTCAAATGGTACCCAATTTCTTTCAAGCATCATTGGGTAACACATACATTTATAATATGTACATGTGTACCACCATTTCACCTTCCTAAGTATTGTTTTTGGAATTATAACACAGGTTTGCAAAAATTAGGCCAGTCAGAATTCATATCATTTCCATGCACATGCTGTGATGCTATATAAATGATTTCATACTGCATAACTCTTAAAAACATTTTCAAAGTATTTCATTGAAAAATTAAAAAATATATATATAACCATGAAAGGATTAGCCAACCAGATATCAGATGGTTTGTACACTAGTATAGGCTTTCCTGACTGTCTATCAATGTGTTAGCTTTTTGAGGTCATTAACACTGTGAGGCTTAGAGCCTTCATACCTTGTCAGTTTATGTATTTTTGGGGAAGATGTATTGTAATTCAAAAGTAAGTCAACTTTGCTTCATTTTGATTTTTTTTTTAGCTTTATATATGTCAAGTAATGCCCAAATCATATCTTGAAAACTGAGGCCCAGCAACATCAAACTTTGTCAGTATCCTGAGAAGAAAATGTTTTGTAATACAAAAGTACCTTGACATCATTTTGAAAATAAAACATAAGAATCCAAACTGCTTATTTGCTAATTTTATCCTTAAACTCCTCCCAATTGTATGTAGAAGGAGCTTCAAGGCATTTATTCCAAAATTGATTATTTTAATTTGTACATTAATTTACGTCTGCATAATGTTCCTTACAGATCTATTCATTGAAATATGTTTACACACTGTGTCAATGATAATGTTTTTCTATCAAAGT